CCTTCCTTCCTTCCTTCCTTCCTTCCTTCCTTCCATTCAATCACAAAGGGACCCCCATTTCTTGACAAAATCTCATACTTACTGATAAGTTTTGAATTAGTCGCATGTTTCTTTTTCTATTTCCTATTCGCGTGACACCAAACACAGCGAAATGCTTCAAATCCCATTTTCAATTTTAATAAAATATAATCAGATACCATTTAGCGTGAAGGAACATCGAAGAAACGTAAAGATGAAATTTAATGTCCGCACTAGGAAATCCAAAATCATATTTCTATTTATATAAAATAACCTATAAATAAGTCTTTTTTTAGTAGTACTTTCTTTATTGTATATACATTGTTGTCATTAATGATCATGACTAGAAGGCAAGACTGAAAACACTTTTGCGTGTAAATATGACTTAGAAATTATAATATGTTTACGAGATACTAGAATGTTGACATTCAAAACATTCAATAAATATTTCACTTATAATAATAATGAGAAATTGCGCCCTTTCACAACTGTCTAAAGAAACCTCGTTTTTTCTGTGGAGGAAATATCACTTTTTGGTCCAAAAAAAGCAAACTGTTTTAGCGTTTTAGAAAGCGGAGAATCGGACAAGACGATGCAAAAACGATCCAAATGATATATCTGCTCTGAATGAAAATGAACTATTGAAGTAGCTCTTCAGAACCTAAGATAAAGAGAGGGCCCTTCTCTTAAAGAGTCTCTTCTTTGTTAATTTTTTTTCTCTAAAAATTGTTATGTTTTTAATTTCCATGGTTCATCTAGAATCATCGTCTTAGTTGTTCCTTTTATGTAACTTTTTTTTTCTTTTTTTGAAGTAATAATTAATAGTTATTTTTGGTCAAATACATCAAAGTTTCTGGAAGAAATTTTACCATTATCTGTGATGTACAAAAAACATGGATAATTCAAAGATCGTTTTTTTTTTTCGTTCAGGAAATTTGCCTCTTTTTATTCACTAGGTTTTTTTYCCCTGCATTTTTCTATTTTACCTGACTGTTGTAACTGAGTATTACGAATGCTTTATTAGTAGTTGTAAACATCGGCTTTACAAGGGTTTGACCACATGCAGCATGAAGTCCTTATCCAGGTGAAGCTTGAAGAGTTATCAAACTGTTTTCTATCGATACACAGATTAAATCTGCTTATTCGAACGGCATGAGAAAAATTCAAAAACTTAAGATAGAGAGAATCTTTATCTTTTTCAGACCACATGCCATCCTATTGAGTATTCTTTTCTTCTCTACCATTAAGCACTAGATTTTAAAAAATCTAACATTAATATGGATGTGTTCTTCCTTCCTTCCTTCCTTCCTTCCTTCCTTCCTTCCTTCCTTCCTTCCATTCTTGCAATTCAATGACTTATAACAAGCTTCCAAAATGGACAAACCATAAAAATCAAAATACTTCACGAAGCGCATGAATATTGATCTTATTAATAATGTTCTCAGTTAATACACTCCAAGAGTTTCGGCTCATAGGCTCATTAGAACTGACAGAAACTCTCTTCAGAAGTTCATGGTTTTCACACTTCTAAATATACTTATAATTCTCAAACTCGCGATTTTGATGAAATTTTCAACGCGCGCCTGGCGTTCGTGCGCTTTCGAAATGGAATGAGTCTATCATAGGCTAACTAATAGACTACCAAGGAAGAACAGTCCAACATAAACGCTAATTCAAATTATTTTTATATTTCTGGCAAATACAGTTAGGACAGCCAGGTTTAATAAAATTTTAATTTCAGATCTTGATAAATTATATATTAGAATTTCATATTCATGTCCAATCTTGGCCGGCAACTTTGAAACGACTGGGTCTCCAATTATTAAAGATTAAAATTCTTTTTCGTATTTCCGATATTACAGATACTTTGGGTCGTAAAGTTTGGTAAATATTATTGCAAGAACAGCCAATAAGTGCCTATAAAACGGGTTGCAAAAAATCGATTAAAAATGRAAAAAAAAGTAATTTAGTAAAGTTTAACTAAATACGATTTAAATCGATGTTAAGATTTTTTGTCCTTTGAGTCTCCGTCGGCGGGCTTAAAAGCATAATTTCGTGCCAAATAACTTATTAAAAAGCTTCTAAATAAGTCCTTTATAATTTCATCAAACTTTATGTCATGTACAATCATCAATAATATGAAAAAAATATCGTTAATCTCTGGGTGGATTTATTAGTTTGTCTGGATGTTACTACTGATGTTTTTGATCATAATTTGTATCTAATTAGGTTCTTTGTGTTCGTTGGTCTTTGGTCTATTGAAATCGTTTCTTTGGTTTTGAATAATATAGATTGTGTATCATTTACACTTAAGTTTTCATTTCTTCTCTATCAACAGCTGTAGGTGTTGTCACTTTTCTTAGTATTCTTAGCTCTTTTTTTTTTTTTTTTAAAGCCACGTTTGTATTTTTCGCCTAAACGCCTCTTATGCACTTTCAAAGGTCTTACCCAGACGTGAATAAAACATGGCGTTGTTTATTAGCTGTGATAAACGAGATATCTGCCTTCGAACCATTGACTTTTCAATGGACTGCAGTCAAAAGAATATAGGAAACAGACCTTTTTATTACCAAACTTGCTGCATTTTAATATCTCAGGTTCTCGTTTGCGATGGGTTATGTTTTTAGAGCTCTGCAACTTCCGCTTTGAAGAGCACTTCATCTGTTTCTTAGTAAAAAAAAAACATGCAAGTAACGATTGCATCTTCAAATAAAGGTGATTTTTTTTTTTGGACTGAGGGAAAAAAACAAGGTTTGCAGAATATGAAGGAATTTTTCAGCATTTTGTCTTGCAAAATCTTACATTCTTCTCTCATTAAGTTCATTTTGTGTGTGTTTTATCCCACAATCTTCTAAGTTATTTTTGCGGTTTTCTGACTTGGTTTACTCATGGTTTCTTCACGTCAATCCAGGCGTGTTTTATTGTTTTATTGGGGTTTTTTTTTTTGCGTTTTTTGCTTATCATCAGCTCTCGAACCAAAGTGTTTTATTGCGCGATCTTAAGAGTCTGATTAAATAGCGATAAGAAATTGGTCACGAAAGCTTCTTAAAATAAAGCATTTCGTGTACTATCTACACGAGAAAAACGCGTTTTCCCCTCAAGAATTCGATAGATTCTTGATTTAATGGCGTAGCTTGCGTTCATTTCAAGAAAAAAGAAAATAATTAATCGTAATCAAATCTGCATGAAACTGTTATTCTCTGAACGATATAAACACACACACAAACCCTCAAAAAGGGACGAACTAATTAGTGCTAAATAGTACTGTATACACGATGGAAAACAAAGGATTTTTCACTATCAAACGTCTTCATTTTCGAAACTTTCTCACTGGTTTACTGCATGCATCCCAGCACGAACATTTTTCAACTAAACTCAACAACTACAATAATAATGTAAATTGCTTTGTCTTATCTTTGGCATCGCTTTTTAATAATTCAAGAAAAGAACTAGAACGAAAATGGAAAAGAATGCAAATGACACAATATGTGATTTTCAGGGCCGGTTTATATTTAGAATCCAATTAACTAATTTAGTCGTCTTCGCTATTTTGATACATGTACACTCTTTCTCCTAATCTTCTTTTTACACAGCCGCTTAAAGTGTCATCAAGCAACTAATAGCGGCTGCTTTATAGGAGACTATCTTTGTCGCTCCTTGTTGGTGGTATATAACAATGGACCTCGGGCTCGGGCGTAGTGTTTCACCCATTTCAGACCACGTGTCATTTTTTTGAAAATAAGATTCTTTGTTTGAGTTGTATCCATATTCATGTGTCTCACATGTGTTACCGTTAAACAGAGAAATGGTACTCTAGGGAATGACACGTGGTTTGAAACGGGAAAACATTAAGCCCAAGGTAAAGAGGCCTATCGATTTTTCATACCACCAACATGGACGCCATGTTTTCTTTCTCAAACGAACAATCATATATAATAGCTAGGAATAACTAGTCGGCTTACTGTTGTTCTACTCTAACCGTCAGCACTCGAGTTTATTTTAATTTATTTTTATTTGTGTAAGAATACTTTTATTYTTTCTTTCTCTTCATCTCCTTCAATAGCTTTCAATACGTGTGACTCGAATTCTATTGTTTTCGATTCGTAATCTGATTGGTTGACAAACTCAAGTGTTCACGGCTAGAGTAGAACGACAGTAGCTAATCGCTGTTTTTTTTTTTTTTTAGGTGTAGGATTCGCCATGTTGGTAGTCTCATTCTTATGTTGTGTGTATTACAATGTCATCATTGCATGGTGTCTGTACTACCTTTACGAGTCCTTTACCACAGAAGTACCTTGGAAAAACTGCGGCAATTCGTGGAACACTGACAAATGCCAAAGAGGAAAACTCTCTGGCGTTGCTAATGGCAATAACACCAACACGACATGCGCAGCAGTAGCAGCTAATTTCACCTCCAACTGCACGGTCACCCCGAAGGATATCATTTCACCGAGCAAGGAATTCTGGGAACGTTATGTGCTGAGAATTACTGACTCAATTGATGATTTTGGTGAAGTGAGATGGCAACTTGTGCTGTGCCTATTTCTTGCCTGGATTCTCGTCTACTTCTGTTTATGGAAAGGTATCAAGTCCTCGGGAAAAGTCGTCTATTTTACTGCCACCTTTCCTTACGTCGTCTTAGTGATTCTCCTGATTCGCGGTGTAACTCTCCCTGGTGCTTCGAAAGGTCTTATATTTTATCTCAAACCAGACTTTTCCAAGCTTGGCGATGCAATTGTGTGGGTGGATGCGGCTACACAGATCTTCTACTCGCTCGGCATCGGGTTTGGCTCACTGATTGCCATGGGAAGCTATAATAAGTTCCATAACAACTGCTTCAAGTAAGTWTTAACTTTGTTTGGCACGCGCTTTTTGCCAGCATAATTCGGCTGCAAATATCTTGATATTTTGCCCAATAGAAGTTTTGCACCATCACGTGACGGCAGCCATGTTAGATGGCAGGAACAATGCAACCTTTTAGATAAAAAAAAAATTCAAATTCCCAAAGGTAAAGGGATTTTATTGTTCTACTATCTAACCACAGGTTTCCCAAGCTGTATTATGGGCCTGCGCACGTGATGGTGCTAAACCTCTTTAACTATGTACAATAAATAGAATAAGTAGAACCACCTTATTTTGCGAAGCAGTAAATATATGTGGCACTCCTTCTATGATGAAATATGAATTTTGGAACATGAGTTTTGGGAGAGAGGAATACAGGTATAAGAAATTCCCAAGAGAGAACTTACTGGCATATGATGGCGGGTCGGGCTCCGACATCGCTCCCACGACCAAGGATCATGGATGTAAGGATCTTATAGCCTGCGCAATGGCGCTAGAGTGTTATAGATAGAAATTTCTGTATATATGATCCTTAAAACTCGCGCGTGCAATCGTCTTCAGTTAAACTGATAAACATCATTGTTTAGACCGAAACGTCTGTTTAAGAAAATATTCACAAGTCAGAGATAGCTTCGATGGAATGATTGATTGATTGGAATTCTGACTGCAATTTTTGAAATATCTAAACACTTACCTTATGATTCATATTTTCTTTCAGAGACGCAATGATCGTTTCCTTGATTAACTGCAGCACAAGCGTCTTCGCTGGCTTGGTCATCTTCAGCGTTCTGGGTTTCATGGCAGAGGTACTGGGAAAGGAAGTACAAGATGTCGCTACTTCAGGACCGGGTCTAGCCTTCGTTGTCTACCCTGAAGGAATTGCGCAGATGCCAATCTCTCCACTTTGGGCTATCTGTTTCTTCTTCATGTTGATCACCCTGGGTCTTGATACTCAGTTTGCCATGTTTGAAGCAGTCACCACAGGACTGGGAGACGAGTATGGTAAATACCTTAAGAATCACATGGAATTGTTCATCGCCTTCTTGTGCTTCTGTTGTTTTATCCTTGGTTTGCCGATGGTCTCGCAGGTTTGTCATGACATTAGTCATTATTAGGGCCCACTTTCATCTCTTGGAACACAAGCAACATACGCAGACTCCTTCCTTCCATTTTGAATTATCGAACCCTGTAACATCCTCTGGGCTGTTCTAAATCAGGGCACGGCTAACTCACAGATCGAATCCTGTAACATCCTCTGGGCTAATGAAAGTCAAGGTATAGCTAACTCACAGATCAAACCCT